TTAATAAAGATGCCTAGTGGAATTTGTTGAGTCGTTGCACTTATTTAATTATGCTCTGGATATCCATTGAGCACTCTGCCAAATGTTTTTGTAAACAACGAAACCTAATTCTATATATATATATATATATATATTTTGTTTCAATACATCACACATGCAAGTAGAATACGGACAATGTAATTATCGATTTACCCAAGGATTCATTCTGTTATTTGGTTTTCTTTAATACGACAACCATTGACGCGATAATGAAAGATTTCAATTATGGCCTAACAGTGCAAAGTTTTCACCCAATGTTTCTTTTGGCTATAGACGAGTTTCGTTGTACTTTCCAATTCATTCAGCTCACCACCGTGTGAGATTTTTTTTTGTATCACCCCAATTATAACAGATCAAGAATCACAATTCAACCTTCCGTAATATAATGTGATCGACAGATGTCTATGATGGTGAAGATAATATGGGAACGGCATTATTAAACTCCACTGCCCAGCCAATCGACTTGTTTGACAACATGCTCGACGCTAATAAAATGATATTAAGATGAAGTCCATTTTCTTTATATGATGTGCATATAACTGCAACTGAAACCAATGAATGTGCTTACACTGCTTTATTCCGAGGGTTCTGATACTGATAACATACCACATTTCTCGTAGATTAATTTTGTTGATTAGTAATATGAATGTCAACACAGTATACGTGGTTTCACTTTATCTATAAGTGTACAATTCTTTAGTTGAAGTAATCACAACAGTATTTTCATATTAATCCATTTATTGTCATTCACACAACACAAATTTACATGGCGAAGTCTTTGGAACGAGGAAACGAACACGAAGGCAGTTGCTAGTCGACTTGTTTTGTCTATCTGTTCTACTTGTCATGTTTACTTTTGGATAGAAAGTAAACAATTATAGAAGTGAATGTCTTCGCGTGTTTTTATTTCCATTATAGTCTATTCTCTGTAAATGATAATAATTCAATGAACACGTTTTGTAATATATTCCCTGTAATCTGTATGCACACACATGTTTCAAAAATAATAGTGCGGTACGCCGTCGCATAATCTGACTTTCTTGTTCAAGGCATACATAGTTTGTATAGATGAACTCATAGTTTTTCAGTACGAGTTTAATTGTTTTAATAATTTTATCCAACAGCATTGGTATAATCCAGAACTTTCGCAATCACGCTATCTTTCTGACGCAGCGTAGACAATACACGCAATTCTTGAGTAGCAAAATCGTTCTATCGGAGGAGCATTTCCATATTCGAGCATTACTGTATACAGAAACGTTAATAGTACCATGCATTGAGAATCGAGCGATTTTTCATTCATTTACTTTCTCAAGACGTCTATACCCCGAAATATATACAGTACAGTTAGACATTTCGCATTTGTACTTTATACAGAATGGTGCTGGGATTTCAGTTGATCCCCAGAGATATGAAAACAACTGATGACATGGCTTTGAGAAAATAATGTACACATATTCGCAATTTTAACTATATAGGCTCTTCGAAAATCGTAGTTCTGTGGTTGCAATAAAATCCATCGGAAGGTAACATGATTATATATTTTCAAACTGTTTCCAACTGACGTTTTGAGGAGTTATTATAGACTATGATCACTCGTTAAACTTTGTACTTTATTTCTCTGATAAAAATGGTGGTAAACAGCAAAGATCACGAGGTTATTTGTTCAGGTGGTGAAATAACAAGGATCACGACTATCAAATTCGTTCAGGTTGTGTGAAAATAACTTATGAAAGTACAGTATATATGTATTTTAATTCGGTCTTTCAATACGTTTCTTGACTTTTCGGTATGCAGTGCTGACCATCATCTAGTTTGTTATTGCTGTTTCAAATTTCTGCTTCAAACTTCATCTTATACGCAATATTAACACCTCTTCACTAGTTGTTGCATGTATATACAACAAATATTTAAAGTTTAAAGAATAGTGAATATGTCTTCCTAATAGTGACATGTATTGTTCCACCATTGAACAGAACTATCAAAACTGTAAAGTAACATCCCTAGATATTTTCATTTACTTGCTTCCTTAGTGAGATTATCATGTACACTGTAGTGCAAACAAATTTACTTGACACATTTCATAATGTGCCCCGAAAACTATATTTCTTCTCATCCAGCAAAATCAACTCGCATTCATAGCATAGCATAACGTTATGCACTTGCAAGAATATTGCTTCACAGTTTTTAAAGTTCTGATAAGGAAGTGTTTACACGAGCCCTACATAAAAAAACTGACCTACTAGGCAAGATTTCACGTGCTAATTGAAATCCTTATCAAACATTGTTTTCTTATATATAACAGCTTCACAGGGCCGTCCAGAGGGGGGGGGGGGG